GCCCCCGCAAGAAAGAGAGGGGGGGGGGGGGGGGGGGGGGTTGATGGCCAGCAACAGCCTGTATATGACCCCCTCCCTTCCCATGCTGCACCTCTAAGGACATGCTTCAGGTCTGTGGGAGATCTAAGCAGGTATTCATCACTGTGACTGACAGATCGGAGGCTGCGCTGAGGCCAGGCTCTGTCTGTGGATTTAATGAAACAGCTACACAGATGCTGAAACTTGTTTTTTTTTATTACACAGATCTAGACATATAAAGTGTTGTTGTGTAACAATATATACAATATAGATCAGCCTTTCTCATCCTGGTGACTTCTGCATTCCTCATGGGTACCATAACATTTTCACACAGTGACATGAATTTCCATGTTACAGGCGGCTCTTGATGTGAAGGGAGGGCTGATAACATGATGGGGGTGCTCCTGATGTAAGGGGTCCCATTGTGAAGGGGGTATCTTATGTGAAGGGTCTGTGATGTAAAAGGGTTGCTTTGATGTGAAGGGAAAGACTGATTTAAAAGGGGGATTCTGATGCAAAGGGGGAACCACCCTTAAACTCCATACCAGACACCAGAGGCGTAACTAGAACCTTCAGGGCCCCAGTGCAAGAAACCATGAAGGCGCCCCCAACCCCCCACCGCCATGGGACCACATGGTTAATCGGAAGGCTGCCGAGGTCCCCAGCAAGTGCTGGACCTCAGGCAGCCGCTTGTTTAAAATTGTAGTGCGGTGTTCTGTTGAGAACGCTGACCCAGTATCTGCACTTACGTACAGATGGGATTACCGAGGAAACCGCCATCTATCCACAAAGTATTCGCCTGTAATGGTCAATTGTGACCGGCAATAACATACCGTCCATGGCAGGAAATGATGGGTGGCAGTAAATGATGGGTGGCAGTAAATGATGGGTGGCCGTGAATGATGGGCAGCAAACCAACAATTCAAACAAAACACCCTGTAAATAAATCCCAGTCTCCTCCAGAGAGGCTGAAACTTAACCCTGAGGCCCCTTTCACTCGGGCCATCCCATCAGGTCCACCTGTCAGTTGTTTAGGCAGACCCGATTGGATGTCCAATGCTGCTGAGACTTGTGGTTCCTCCTTGTAATCTGTTAAACCCTACAAGATGGACTCTTCCTACACCTCACCTCTCTGCCCTGTGTCCCTCTTGCTGTACCATATTGCTGCCTTGTGGCCCCTTGCTGTACCATATTGCTGCCTTGTGGCCCCATGCTGTACATGTAACAGAACAAGACTTTGTATCCATTATTATGTATCACAATATTACACTTGGAACACATCATTGCTGGAACATCTGCACAGATAATATATCAGGGGGAGGGAACCTCAACAACCTGCTGTGGAACTACAAGTCCCATGAGGCATTGCAAGACTCTGACAGCCCCAGACATGACTCCCAGAGGCAGAGGCATGCTGGGATTTGTAGTGTGTCCTGTGGTCACCTCCTCCATGGTGTAAAAATAAAGACAAGACGGATCTGAGAGACATTTGTGTCCAGAATCAGGAAGAGAAAATAAAGGTGATTTCCAGAGGTGATTGGAATGAAGAGTGTGAGCGGAGCTCAGGATGGGGTCAGGTCCGGATGTGTCAGAAATGGGTCAGTGTGGTGTCAGTGGTGACAAGCTGAAGAATGGGGATTACCTCCATAGGATGTGATGGAAGGATCGCCTCTAGTGCTG